TATTAAGTGTTACATAGGTTACGTTATTTATGGCCAGTTTTTAATGTAGGTTACTGTTTTTTTTAGACATTGAATTTCCTGTTCTTTGATATCCTTGTATCTTAGATTTAACTAGATGCGCTTAGCATTTTTGTGATTTTTAGCATCTCCCCCTGTTTCTTATCTGCCTTTCTCAGTTATTTACACTTCCTCTGGAAGCATGCTTGCACTGCCTGGCACAGCTATAAATCAGTTTTTTTTAGAATTAGTACTTTGCAAACTTCACTGGTTACACCTTGTGTTTTCTGCATCTGCAGAAATTTAGCACTGAATTTAGCAAAAGAGCTTGATCAGGTTTTTTTCATTTTTATTTTTATCCTGTGCAAAAAGAAATTCTCTTTTATTCCAGTGCAATGGAAGGGGAAGGGGAAATAATTGTGCTTGTATCTCTGTTTGAGACTGGAATATAGGCCATGGGAAGATATTCTGTGTAGTGACAGGTTTGTCTCCCTTCTTAATGGAGTCATTGTGTGAAGATTAGTGTGACTTGTACTTTTCCTCAAATTGCTTCTTTGGAACATTGCAGTGAGCAAGGAAGTAAATAAAGAGGGAAAAGGGAATAAAGAGGGGAAAGGGAATAAATAGGGGAAATGATATAAAGAGGGGAAAGGAGATAAAGAGGGGAAGGGAAATAAAGAGGGGAGGGAAATAAAGAGGGGAAAGGAAAAGAATAGGGAAAGGAGATAAATAGGGGAAAGGAGATAAAGAGGGGAAAGGAAAGAAAGAGGGAAAGGAAATAAATAGGGGAAGGAAATAAAGAGAGGAAAGAAGATAAAGAGGTGAAGGGAATAAAAAGGGCAAAGGAAATAAAGAGAGGAGAGGAAATAAAGAGGGGAAAAGAAATAAAGAAGGGAAATTGAATAGCAGAAAGGAAATAGATAGTAAAAAGTGAATAAACAGCAACAAGAGAATAAACAGCAATAAGCAAGTAAACAGTAAAATCCTCTGTGCACCGAGAGTCAGCTGTGCAAATTTCGAGCTAAACACCTGTCCCCAGCAGCTCCCGCTGTCCAGGCTTCCCTGTTCCCAGTTGCAGGTGCAGAAGTGCCTTTTCCCACCTTGGCAAATCCACATGTTTGCCCCCCCGGGCTCTCTCCGGCCGCCCGCACCTCCCTCATCCCGCGCTGGCTCCGCACACTCCGGGCTGGGAGCGGAGCGGGAGCATCGTCTGCGAGGCTGTGGCGGCGGCAGGTTCACATGACTAATGCTGGGAAAGATAGCAGGAGCTTCTTTTTTTTTTTTTTTTTCCCTTTTTTTTTTTTTTTTTTGAGGAGCTCCAGTCTGTGCACAGTTGGCTCCCAGCTGACAGACAGAATGTGGGGTGGGCTTTGTCACCAGAACGCTGGGTACTGCATGCCCAGCTATGCTCGCAATTCCACGGTGCCCAGAAACCTGCTGCTTATGTCAGGGTGCAGCCAACCTGAACACATAGAAATTGGGTAGCTTGAATAATTTTTATTTTTATTATTATTTTTTGGGGGTTGTTTTTTTTTTTTTTTGCCTCTTTCTTCCCAGCAAAGGTTATGTAATGAGGGGATTGCTGCTAAAGTAAAAAGGGAAAATGAAGTCTTTGTTAAATGCCTTCACAAAGAAAGAAGGTAAGCGATGAAAGCAGAACACTTTGATGTTTCAGACCGGTGTTTTCTTGTGTACATTGAATATGATGGGTTTAGTGACTATAATTAATCAATTCCTGCAATTTCTTTTTCAAAATTATTTGATGTTAGATGGTCCATTAAGGCAAGTGTTTATTAAAGCTGGATGTGACTTTGTTCCTTTTAGGATTTTCTCTGAAGAGTCAAGTAGTTATAGAAATGTTTTTGTTCCCTAAGAAATGCATTTGGAGACACGTTAAGGATTTTCCAGGGTGAATTTTGTCAGTAAATGGTGCTGAATTGCCCCTTCAGATGTATGAAGTGCCAGGAATAGAATTGGGAGAGCTGGAGAGAGGATTGTATGGTACTTTCAAGTATGCTTTTAGGGATGATAAATTTAAACTTTAGGAGCATGTAATTAGTTCAGGCATTTTCATGTCATTTTATATCAACTGTTTTTCCCAGACAAGTTTGCAACAGTTAGACTTACAGTTCTGAATGTGGGAAATATTAGGGAAAATCACTGTCTGACTGGGATTAAAGCGTGGACATTTGCATTTCATCATATTGTGTTGTAGTTATTTTAATTTTATTATTGTGAAATTAATATAAATAATGCCGATAAGAAGAAGCTAAAAAAATATCCACCCACTTACAGTTTGCAGATTGCTGGGGAAAAGAAACAGTTGGGTGGAATATTAATCACTTCAGGCTCCGAAATGCTTATTTTTAACTCTTTCTATAAAAGATTTGTGTTAGACAAGCGTCAATTGGTGTAATTAGTTGTCCCCTTTCCTGATTATTTCCTATAGTAAAGGCTAATTTTGCTCGTAGTTCCCTCCTTAAGAACAGAGCATTAATAGCAAAGCAAAAGCTAAACTCTTAAATGAGCATGTAAAATCCTTCTAAGGCACATAAGGGAAAAAGAAGACAAGGGTACCTGGAGAGTGGTTTCTCAGCTCTGTTGGTATAAATGTGCTCAGCAGCTCTCTGTCCATCTTGTCACCCTGGCCCTCGTGCTCTCTCCCTTCCCACCAGGAGATATCCCACCAACCTCTCCGGAGTCCCAGTAAACATCTCCAAACCATTGGTAAAATTTAGTTTTATCTATCTGTGGTTGGAAGGCTGGGCAGGCTGCTTGGAGTGTCACCTGTTTAGGTTCATGGAAAATTAGAATCTAAAGGTCAGACTCAATTTTTGCTGAATCCAAGGCAAACTTTGGAGACCCTGAGACAGCAGGATTAGACCTTCAGGTAGCAAATGTGCCAAACATTCCCTATGTTCAGTTTTGTGTGCTTTCTCCTTGACTGGATTCTGCTCTATTGTACCTGGGAAGGATCCTTATCTTCAATGAAGTAATTTCTAGAGTCAGATTCCAAGTGCCAAAAATATAGGAGTGCAGAAATGTCACATCTCTGTCCCCTACATCTACCTAAGGATCTGTATATGCCAATTTGGGAACTAAATGCTTAGAGTTTTCTTTAAGTTGGCACTAACCAGGGCTTTTACTGTGACATCTAAAGCACTCGGGTGCTCTCAGTGACATACTCAGCTGCTTTGAAACCTTAAAAAAATATGAAATGTGAAACACTTGAAATGCCATGAAAATTATACAGAGTTTCTGCCACGTTCCAGCATAAATATTGTATTTCTCTGCTTTATCCCCTTTAACAGCTTTTAAAGAATGCTTCCCTCATTTCAGCCTTGTCTCAAAGGAAATATGGAATTTAAGCCCTTTCTCTCTGCTCACACTGTTCTCTTGTTTGGTTGTTCTGATGTTGAGTTGTTTACTAGAGAAAGTTTCATCTCATTAGAAATACAAAGGATGCTGTTTTAAAATATTCAGAATTGTAGTTAATCATAAACTGATTCTGGTGAAAATTATATAAACTGTTATTCTCCTTGGAGTTCCATCTCTCTTTTATGCTATGAGTACGCTCTCAGTTTTGCTCTGAAACCTTAAATTTTGCTTTGTTCTCTCAATTAAAGGCTCTATTTCAAGACAGGACAGATTGATTCCTATGTATATTCATATTTATGTGAATTTATTTACTTGCACAGTATGACAGACATTCTTATTCTGTTTTTTCTGTGGTTTTGAAGGATATTGAATGAGTAGACATTTCTGGCACTTCATAAATGGCACTTACTGGCACTTTAGACATGTAGGATGATATTTTGTGGGGCTTCTTTACCAATTTAAATATGATTTTTTTTGAGAATTACAGCAGCTCAATGAAGTCCTCAGAATAATGCCTGGCTGCCTTTTTTTAGTTTTACTATTGTGACTTTTCAGATGTAAATATGTGCACTCTGGCTCAACTCTTGTGACCCCACAAGCTCCACTGAAATAAATTAATGAGGGTGGTTGCAACAGTGGGAAGCAAGTCAAGAACGAGTTTTTGTGGTCAAATTCTCTATTACCTTTTGATAGGACAGGAAATATCACATCTAGTGATGTCTGGGTGTCTTTTTATGAGGAAATTTGCCTTTTAAGTTGCACTCGGAACAAACTACTACAGGGAGAAAAGGTGATCTGGACAGCATTATCTGCTTGTGCAAGTGTACCGGGAGCACTGATGAGGGGATGGACCCTCTGCTCTGTGTCGGATTTTTACTGCCCTTGCCTTGTTTGCTGTTGTGACTATTTCATTAATAAGTATTTTGCAGCCTTTGGATACAGTCATGTTCCCTTTGGGACACGGCACGTGACAGTGAGTGTATTCCCCTGGGGTAATATGTTCTATATACAATAGTAATTGATGTGGTAGAAGTGCCTAGATTAGAAATAGGGGAATACCTGGGGATTACAGCAGTGTAATAGAGTTCTGCCAGGAGAAGAAGCCGTGTCCTCAATTTTTAACCTGAAAGATAGGGATAAGGTGATTATTAACACTACAGATTTCAGGTTAGGCCTGAACTTGTGAGGGACCAATTTGGGTACCAGCTGGGGGGAAGGAAGGTGCAAATTCATAACTCAGAAATTCTGCTGGTCAGCCCTGTTCTGTGCCTTCCTAATAGAACGTGACAACACAGCATGAAAATGAAATTTCTGAACGTCCAACTTGGCAATAATGAGGTGAATCCCATTTCCTAGACCATAGTTCAGGCTATTCAGCTTACTCCTGACACTAGTGTTGCTCAACTATTCATCCAAGCCAGTAAACAGGTTCATGTTGCTCTGTTGTTTTCAATTTTACTGATGTTCTGAGGATAATGAGTTCGATCAGCTCTGCTGGCAAGGTAGAGTTTCTGTCTCTGCAGAAGAAACAATGCCATATGTTGCTGAATTATATTAATGTGGTGGTAAACACATATGAGTGGTGAAATCATCTGAGATTACCCTGAATGCCTTTCTTCACACAGTGCCCTTTAGGGAGGCTCCCACCTATTCCAACAGAAGGCGGAGACCTCCGAACACCTTGGCAGCCCCTCGGATCTTGCTCCGCTCCAACAGCGACAACAACCTGAACATCAACAACCTTCCTGAGTGGTCAGCATCCTCCTCTGCCTCTTCACACCGCAGCCTTTCACCTCATCTGCTTCAACAGATGCAGAATAATCCCAATGGAACTGTAAAAACCGTGGGGAGTTACACTCCGTCCTCCCGGAGCCGGTCACCATCCCTGAACAGGCTGGGAGACGATGCCAAGCGGCAGCAGCACAGGCACATCAGGTGACTTTTTGACTACTTGAGATATTCCTTAAGTCATTGTGCTGCATTGCCACATGTTTTATGTTATTTATATGCCCACTTTGCACTCTATATAATGTATAGGTATTAAATCTCAGCACAGTGGACCACGTCTAAGTGTGACTATTTTGATTGGAAGCACCGGTCAAAGCCAGCTGTTTCCTCACAGGGCTCCAGCAGCCAGGCAGGCTTTACAGTTCAGCAGAGCTCAGCAGTGACTTAACGCAGGGTTCGCACCTCCAAATCAATGTGCTAAGCTCTCAAGATCTTCTAATTGTTGAAATAAGGATTGGATTTAACAGCAAAGTAAAATGTTTCTGAGATATTGGTCATGCCTGGAATTTGTGCTGGAGCTGCTCATGGGTGATGGAACAGAGAATGTTTAAGTTCTCTCTTGTGTAGATGTGTGCTGAACCAAGGAGTAAAATAGAGGGAATAACTGGAGGCTGGCTTAGAGCAAAGGGGGCTTCTTGAGATAGTGGTGATAGATGTCATGGACTTCTTTCATGATTATCTGTGCTGAAGGGTTTTGCATTACCTATGGCTTTGCTGCTCTTCCTTTCCTCTTGAATTACAAATGTGATTTAGCAGGCACTCTACACAAATATCCTGCAGCCACGTCCCACTGGAGAGCAAATCCTGACTAATTAGAGTCATGTGTTTTTTAAGTAATATAATAACAGAGGACTGAGTCTGAGTTTTGATCTCAAATGGGAGCTGCAGCTTTGAGAAGCCACTGCCCTCATTGTGAGGAGGCAATTACAGCTTCACTTTGACTCAGGAACTCCATCTGCCAAGTGTGCAAGAGATGGGGCTGCACCAGGATAAGGGATGTTAAAGTGTAGAGCTGCCACAGTGAAGGTATTAGAACTGAGCACTGAGGGAGAGTTGGAGCTTACATGTTTTGACCAAACACATTTAACTCACCAGTCATTTAAAATATCAGACTTTATCTGTCTTATTTCCTAATATTAAAAAGAAATCCACTGTTCAGAGTAGAAAAGGACTTGAGCATTGTCAAGAAATGCAGCTGTTGGTTTCCCTCTGTCATTTGTAGGTGTAATGGATCTTCACTGGAGTTTTCAAGTCAGTAAAACAAAATGTCATGTAGTTCACACTGGCTCTATTACCTTGCACATTCTTCTCTCCTTGGCCATAGGCATTCAAACTGACAAGCACTATTTGTGATAGTAACAATGCTGCTGGAGAGGGGAAATAATGGTGCATTGTAAAACAAAGTTGTCTGAAGTGGAAGAAAGACTGAAATGAAATGGAAGGAACGGGATATGAATTTCTTTTGCCAGAGTTTTCATGCAGCAAACTCATCTTTGTTGTATGTTACAATAGTGGCTAAAGCTCATTTGTGTGCAATTTGGGTGCAATTTGGATGGTGTTTCCTCACAGAGCCCAATATCAGCTAAAAACCAGTTTGTAATGAGAATTCAACTGGGTGAGGTGACGGCCATGAGGTGCTTTTCAGAGAATGAGCTTTTGTATTCCACTGGATTATACTGATGCCACCAGAATGGGAGGTTTTACCTAGGAGTCAATGATTATTTCATCTGGAAGGGATAAAAAGAGCCTTTTCATCTATATTCCTGGGATGACACACTTCAAATTCTAGAAATATAGTCAATCCTTTGAGGTGGGGGTAACAATTAGAAATTTTTTTTGACTGAGTAAACATTTTTTTGCTTTGATTTTATTCAGCCACTTTCCTCTTCCCTTCCTGAAAACTAACACAAATGCTGGTGGAAACCAATTTAATACCTGAGAGTTTGTGGAAATAAAATTTTGATCTTCCTCCTAGTGCATCAGTATCACAACTACAGTTTCAATGTGCCATCAAGACTTGTTTCAGAGGAGTCCAGAGTATGTGCAAGTACTGAGAGGAGAGCTGGAGACTCTCTAAATTTGACAACAACTAAAAGGATTTTATATATAATTTTTCCTACATATAATGCCTTTTCTTGCCACAGGCCTATTTTGCAGTCATGAATGGCACCTTGCATGACTTTCCTCACAGATTTTGTTTAACTGCATGACCACCTACTTACAGTCAGCTAAATGTGGGAATTGTTGCTGTCTCTGCTTATTATTTGCAAATAATAACATTCACCATAAAGCTGTTGCTCCCGTGTGATGAAAAAGCCCTTTTTGACATAGCAGTAGGTTGGGTTGTGGAGCAGGAGCAGCCAGAAGGGGCAGAGTAATGGAGAAGGTCAGAGTTTGACAAAGGGTTAATGAGGTTTTTGGCGTTTGTGCTGTGGAAAGCGATGCTGGAAGGGATTCATGTGGTCTTTGCAGCCTGTGTGGCTCAGGTGTTTCATCTTATCAAGTGAAAAGAGAAGAGATTTACATTAGATATCAGGAAGAAATTCTTCCCTGAGAGGTTGGTGAGGCCCTGGCACAGGTTTCCTGGAGAAGCTGTGGCTGCCCCATCCCTGGAAGTGTCCAAGGCCAGGTTGGACGAGGCTTGGAGTAACCTGATCTAGTGGAAGGTGTCCCTGCCCATGGCAGGGGGCTTGCAATGACCTTTAAGGTCCTTCCAACCCAAACTGTTCTATGATTCTCCATGAGGCTGTTGCTTTTCATAGCAAACTGATTGTGTAGTGGGATGGGGAGGCAAAGGAATGAATACCCTTCCTGTGGAATGTGTCCCACAGTGATTATGAAGGGAGGTTCCAAGACAATCTCAACCAGGGATGAGCTGTCAAGGACGGCCACCTTCTTCTGGGAGAGAGGGGAACATGTCCACACATCATCTGAAATCTCTGCATCCTTCTCCTGCTCTTCCTAGCATGGGATTTGCTGGATTTCGAACCCAAGCTGATGAAAAGAAGGGAGAGGAAAGATTGTTTATTTTAAAAAATCCTCTACCCTGCAGCCCTGATTTCCATTAGTGGGCCTGTTGCATGAGAAGTTATGCATTCGTTGTGTGGGTTAAATGTGTCATTTCCCTTTTCTCCTTCAGTAAGAGAGAAAATGAATGTATCTTCTGTGATAGCAGTTAAAGTAGATGCAGGGAGAAAACACTGTGAATAGCTGCTACCAGACGAGGCAGAAACACAGCTTGATGCAAGTGGAAATGAGATGTGTAGCAACAGTTTATAGATCTGGATTTTTTTATGGTGATGACTGTTCCTTCACTTACAAGGAAGAAGAGCAAAGAACTGAAAACCAAACAACATCTTTCCCAGTCTTTCTTTAAACGACTGTGAGAGTTGGCTGAGGTTTCTGATGCAAAATCCTTCATAGATATGCAACCAGAACTCACTGTTAAACTCCTAAGTATCATTATTAGCACCTCTTCACAGTAATGGAAGAACAAAACTAGATGAAAAGGGGATCCTATTCCAAACGGTGAAGAAGTTAAAGCAGGAAAATGGAAGTGTTCCTGATAGGAAAGATTCACTGTGTTTGGGTTCTTCTGTACTCACCGACTTATTGACTACTATTTTGGTAGGAAATTGGTTAAAAAAACCATAAAGGGTGAAAACCCAGCAAACTCTAACCCTTTTATTTCATTTTACTTAAAGCAGTTTGAGATATTTTCTTATAAGAAAGGAAGCAGAGTGTTAAAATGCTAAATCACCATGAAATGAGCCTTCTTCCTTTGTTATACTATTTTTTCCCTTCAAATCTTTATTAACATTCTCCTTTCTCATGAATATTTTCTGGTTTTGGACTTTCCGTGTAAGACATCAAGTTTTAACGTGTGGTTTTTTTAAGTTGAATAGCAGTGTACTGCAAGTTTGTTATGTTATCTCCTACAGGTTTCCCACTCTCTTTAATATTTGCTTCTTTTTGTATATTTTTGACAGTTCATTTGTTTTTCTAGAGTTTTGGTAATGATCTTATACATTTTTCGCCACCTTTCAATAATTTCTTCTTTATACACCATAAGTGTGTTGGTTGATGAGCTGTGGCTTGTTCTGAAGTCATTGAGTGAGTTAGTGTTAGCCATCAAGAAAAAGTGATATTCTGGAGAATATTTGCCATAAGCACCATGCTTTGTGAAGGTCTAAATTTAGCTCCAGGCTTTGGAGTGATGAAGTAACTTGATTATTCAATCCATTTAGTTAATAATTCAGTTCTCTCACTTGTTCACTCAAAGATATCCATTCCCAACAATAATTGTAAATACTGAGGTTTTCAAGTTATTCTGACAAATGGAGGTTCTGGTAATGTATGATTTGCATATAAATTTTAAATTTCATTAGGCTCTATGAATGTGCAAGCTTAATTTGCAGAAAAACTAAAAACTTTAATGTTGTGTATTTTCTGTTCCAGGACATTATGGTCAGGTGGATATTGATCATGTTTCATATTGAAAGATTGCAACCATTAAAAGCTTCTGTTTGGCATGAAAACCCTGTATTTTTTTTGAAGAGTTAGATGTCTCACTGGAAGACAATTAATTTGCTTAATTTAATCCTGCTAAGTGATGGTAAATGATTAACTTTCCCATTTTAAAGCTGTTAATGATGTTTAATTTCAATTTCCAGTGCCGTTTACAGTCCTAGTGCCAACAAGGATACACTGTCTGCCTTGGATTATCAGGGTCCCAAACGGAAGCTTTACAGTGCTGTTCCTGGAAGACTTTTTATTGTAGTAAAGCCATATCAACCTCAAGGGGAAGGGGAAATTCACCTGCACAAAGGAGACAGAGTCAAAGGTGAGTACCTAGTTAATTTTGAATATGCATTTTTCTTCTGCTAGATGGAAATTTTATAACAAAATTCTATTTTGGGGGGAAATAACCTGTTCAGTAGAAATGCTTTTATGCATTTGTTTCTTTACAGGGTATTTTGCTCCTAGCTGTGTTTTAGAACCAATGCATATTTCGCCACCATTTTAACTTCAAAGTCCTCCTAAAAATCAGAAGTTTGTACAGTAATAGCAGCATTGTCTCTTACCCAGAGCATGTAATATACATCTGTAGTCATTACAGAATGACTACTCCAGGGCTTTGAAAGGCTGTAAACATGTTAGCTTTCTAAACACATCAGGAAGGAAACAGGGATAAGAGCAGCTCTGTTTTAAGCCCTTTCCTCATGGAACAATTTATTGGCTAAGTAGAAAATGTCCCCTCATGAGACTCAGTATAAGTAGGTAGGTAGAATCTACTGTAAACGTTTTGTGGAGAAAGCATGGTGGTGCATGTTTAATTTCTGTCCACTGGGGCTCTTCCCCAGCTAAGACTGTACTTACATCAAGGCCAAACTTTGTGTTATTAGTTTGAAGGCAGTAAGTACATCCACATACAGATGAGAAAGTGGGTGATGTGGTGTACAGGACTCACCTTCCTGAGGGTGAGGTGTGATGCAGCTTCAGCTCTGATTTTGCACGTCCAGGTAAAACTAGTCATGGAATAAAAAAGACTTTTTTTTCAAGCCATACAAATCAAACAACAGTTACGGAAATCAAACAAAAGGGAATAAATTCAGTGTCCTAAATAAAAGTGTTAAGCTCATGCAAATTTTTGTGCAATGGAAACTACTTATCTCACAAAGGAAAACTTCAAATACCTCCTCCCTTAAGCCTGCAAAGAGTAGTTGGAAAAAAACTAGGGAGCCATTAGAAGGTATTTTTGCATTTTTATTTTTGGATGTGCTCATTCTGAAGTGTTTGTGGGTTTAATAATTTTTGTTAACTCAGAAGGTGTAGGACAGAACTCTGAAGAACACTGCACTTGAAGGTAATACATGTGCAAGACTCATTTTATTTGCAAGAATGAAGGAGGAAGATTAAACTTAGGAGAGTCTGTAGGGCTGAAAAGATAATTTTGCTGTTCTCAAGATTGTTCCCTGATCAAGTAGGAAGTAGTGATTATAATTTCCCAATTAATGGAAGTTATCTAGGCTAGAGTCAAGTAGAAGGCAAACTTTGAGGTTGTGGAATTGTTTGGGAATGCCAAATATTAAATTTGACAGCTTTGAATGTTTGGGAACCAGCTTTGCAGGCATACAGTGTGTGAGAATAAATGCAAGACAAGTAATGCAGAATAACTTCCTAAAAGCCTTCAGGTGTCAAAGGAATGGATATGATCTAGAGAGAGGTAAAGTTACATTATGAGTAAGTGTCATGCAATAATATAAAGCAAATTAAAAGCAAATGTGATGTTTTCACACCTCTACAAAAGAACACTGGCTCTTGGGTTAAAATGGGAAGGTCTGGGGTCTTCTGTGTAGAGTTTGGAGTTCTCACTGGAAGGGTGAAGGAACAAGGCAGTTGAGAGAGATGCTTGTTGGGCAGTTACATGAAAATGAAAAAAAATGATTAAAAAAAAGAGAGACTTAAGCACACCCCAGAGCTCTTTGCTTATTTATAATCTCTGGAATTTGATTATAGCAGGAAAAATTGCTGGTACCTATAAAGGATGAAATTTTGGGGGCCATGAGTGGTAGTAAATAACTTTCTGAGTGTGTCTATAGGGATCTAGGAAGAGTCAAAAGACAAAGAATGAGTGCTGTTGAGCACCATCATCTATTCTTTGGGGAATCTTGTACACAGAGGTGTTCTTGTTGGATTTAATTATGTAGGAATATTTTTGTTCTGTAGAGGATGTAAGATCAACATAGATTCTTCTCACTAGAATAAGACAATAGACACTCCAGGCAGTTCTGGAGAAAGACAAGATAGAAACTGTGTGTCCTGGCAAAAGAGGAAACACTGTAACAGCTTGCTTAGGATGTTGAATTTTTTAGTCATTCATCATCTGGCTGCTGGTTCGCATTGGGATTTGAGACTATTATATGCAAAAATATCCCAAGAATAAGGAGTTTAAATTCAATTTCAAGGAAGAGTTTAATATTTTAAAAAAGTTAATTCAGAATCCCTTGGTTCTAAGTTGTTATAATTAGTCTACCTTTCAAATTTTCTTACTGTGGTTTGTTCTAAGTGTGAGACCAATGATTTTTGTGGGGGCAGCAACCAATGGATGTCAAAATGCTGAAATAGAAAATGAGATGATTATTATTATTATTATTATTATTATTATTATTATTATTATTATTATTATTATTATTATTATTATTATTATTTCTGGGAAAATTGTAAGTTTTTGGAAGAAAACCTATAAATTAATTATTATTGTTAACAAAAGGGGGACATGCCCATCCAACATCAAATCATCCCTGCAGCAGTTATTTTTTCAGCTTTAAGAATATGGTTTGCACTTAGAATTAAAATCTGGTAGAGGTCTAGCTTTTCCAGGTATGTTTGTTTTAAATCATTTTAGAGAACTTTGCTGCAGCAAAGCCTAGTGAGGTTTCTATAGATGTCAGCCTCCTTTTAGGGAGTTTGGAAAAAGAACAAGTCTATATAGAGAATTTCAGAGCTAGTGCTTAGGATTAAATCTTGTGAAACATAATTTAAGGCTGTTTGCATGGCAGGGCTGGGACGCTGTATGACACTCTCAGTGCTATCAAAGGAGAAACTTCCAGAACAAAATTAAATCCTATTTTATGTTACCATGTCAGTGGTTCCTCAGTTGCCACAAAAAAATATGTCAGAATGAACACAGCAAGGTCATGTAGAGAACAAAGAGTTCAGGTAAAAAGACAGTGATACTTTAAAAAGGTCTCAGTTGTGTAACAGTGTTGAAGAAGCCACTCAAACCTAGCATTTGTGTCAAAAATCCAGGTCCAGTTAAACCTGGATTCCTGTCCCTGTTTCAATAAAAATGTAATTATTTATAGAGAATAAGTGTAGTGATAGGACAAGGGCGAAATGGGTTTAAGCTGAAAGATGGTAGATTTAGACTAGATTTTAGGAAGAAATTCACTCCTGTGAAGGTGGTGAGGCCCTGGCACAGGTTACCCAGAGAAGCAACTTGCTGTGTGCAGTGCTTGGAAGGAATGAAAGAACAATAAACCCCATGGAATTCAATTTTTTGTCCCTTTGGAAACATTTCCCCTCACATTTGAAAAACAAAAACTTTGTCTTAGCCCCTCTCCTCTTCCAAATTGGTAACTGTACTGTTCTTATAATACACTGATGCCAAAGTCCTGCCTTCTTGGATTGTTTTGGGGAATTCAAGTGTGTTTTGGTACTTGCTGTGGGGTTCTGACCCATGTTTAGTCTGACCCCGGGGAGATGCTCATCACATGTTCATCCCATGAGACTAATCACAGTAAAGATGTAGCAAGGCATTTATTATAGGGATAAAAACCAGAACAACATATTAGAGAAAGGGATTAGTTGGGAAATGTTTTTATGGATTTTCTTTTTTGACTTGGCAGAATTAGAAGGGTCACAGAGAGAGGGATGGATTCCTAGACTCTTGATGAAAAGTGTTTTCATCAGATGGAGAGGAAGCAGGTTTTTTTTTCCTTTCTAAAACTGGTAGAAGTGCATGAGTGACAATAGTTCACAGTATGTGATACAAGGAAGCTGCTCAGAGAAATCTGTGAATGGGCAAGGTTCAAAGAAAATGTAAACTAAACATTGGTTTTAAACTAAAATGGTCTTGTATTAATAGGATATTACGTAGCCTGTACCAAAATACCTGCTTTATTTTTAGTTGTTAGTCATACACACTGACATCATTTGTGTCTCCGCTCTTGAGAAAAGAGCCATAGCTGTTGTAAAAATAAATCTGATGTCTTTGTTTGTACCAGAACTCTCCTAATCTTATGTTTTCACATAAATGAAGTTTTATTCCTCACAGAAACATTTTTAATTTATTTTGTTTCTTTCTTCATTCTATGTGTAAAAGTCCATAGCAACAAATCTGTCCCAATCCAAATGCACACACATGTATAACAAGTATCTGTAAAATGAATTTAAATCAGCTTTCACATTCCTAAATTGAACTTTTACACTGGAAATCAAGTGGTCTCTTTTATGACAAAACTCAGAGGCATGAAGAGAATGCAATGCTCTAAAGTTCTTTGTGAGAATAGAATTAACAGTTTTCTTTGCCATGGAGATAGAGAAGTATCTGTGCATCCTTGAGAAGGTCACCTGTGTTTCTAATCTGCCCATCTTGTTGGGAAGGTAACAGGTCTGAGTTCCAGGTGCCAGTCAACATGATTCAGACAGTCTCTGGTCACCTGCAAACGAAACAATCAAAATGTTTTATATTAAAACATACCTGAAATGCATATGAATTATCCTTCACTGACCTAGAAAGAAAGAACCTGCATGGTTGCCTGATTCAAATGCTTTGAGAGCTTCTGAAGTCTCACCCCACTCACAGGGTTTTTTTTATAGAATCCCAGAATGGTTTGGATTGGAGGGGACCTTAAAGACCACTTAGTTTCCCCTCCCCCCTCACCATGGGCAGGGACACCTTCCACTAGCCCAGGTTGCTCCAAGCCCTGTCCAACCTGGCCTTGAACGCTTCCAGAGATGGGGCAGCCACAGCTCCTCTGGGCAAACAGTTCCAGTAGCTCACCACCCTCACAGGGAAGAATTTCATCTTAATATCCAGTCTAAATCCACCCTCTGTCAGTTTGAAGCCATTGCCCCTTGTCCTGTCACTATCTCCCTGTGGAAAAAGGTCCCCTTCCAACCCAAGCCATTCTATAATTCTCTTATATGACTTTCCCTCTCTTATATAAGCTCTCTTTAGGTACTGACAGGCTGCAATGAGATTTCCCCAGCCCCTTCTTTTTTCCAGGCTGAACAACCCCAACTCTCTCAGCCTGTCTCCACAGCAGAGGTGCTCCA